TATATATATATATATATATATATATATATATATATATATATATATATAAACAAATATATATATATAATAAAGTAAAATACCAATTACTTTTCATAGCTATTACGTTTAAAGCTTGCAATAATTGTACAGGCTTATTTAGCGTCCTAAAGCAATTAAAAGATATTTTCAAAGATTTCTTTATATGTTTAAAATTCAATACCTTAGAGTCAGATTTTAGACACGTTTTGTGTTGCAATTTTGAAGTTAAATATTTTAAAATTAGATACGTCAGGTTAAATCATAGTTTGTAGTACTTACCTCTTGTCACTCACTGTAATACTTTAAATTTTCTAGTCTGTGTCGCTTTGGATTGTTCAAAACAAAGTATGACCGCAATCGTGATTATATATGTAGTATTTCAATAAAGTGTTCTTGAGCCAATTAATGTTGTTACCATCAGTGTCTGTCTTTTTATTCTTAATAATCTTTTCTCTTAACTTAACAGCGTTTAAAATACATCTCTTGTTCGATAACATTTTTATTTATTTATATTTTAAAAACAGCGTACATGCTGGCTTACAGTATGCCCAAAACGTCAGCACTTCTTCTTATAGCACTTATATCTTATTTCGATGGCTTTGATGCCATTCTTACTGCAGTACCATCCTGAGGGATGGTAAATATTTACGTTTTTTAAAGAACTTTCAATATGCGTGCACAGAATAAACCTCCATCACAGAATGGCCAGGTTCAAAGTAACCGTGTTCTATTTCAGTAAATAATATGTAATATTTGCACGGCATATAGTAGAACCGCAGCTAAATTTACATTCCTATTCTGGCCTCCACAAGTATCATTCATAATAACGAACTTTTTTTCATTACCGTGGTCTAATAAATATTTATAGACAGGAAGACAACTCGTTGGTACCTCTTGTTGCAATACCTTCACGCCACATGAAGTTTGACGCACACCTTGATTCAACATCATAGACTGTCGCACCATACCTAAATAGCAAATCGCCATTTGTAAAAATCGATTTAGCTGATACTTAATATAACATTATAACATTTATACAACATCTTACGGCTTCTCAGTCAATCTCAATAAAATTCAAAACTTACTTTTCTGCTAGGTCCTTGTAGTTATCACGGTACTGACGTGCTTCAATCTTCCGACGGATATGTTGCATGTGTAATGGAAATAAAGCTAGTGTATAGTTTAGATAGAGTGTATAGATTTATACCTACATATCCCTTTGAGATAAATCTTCTGGCAAATACTTATAATTTTTTAAGGAAAAAATTTTATTCAAGATCAAAGGTCAAAAAAATGAGTTTTTCGCGATTTTCAGCAAAACGGTAAGTTTTATCATAAAAGTACCTCAGACAAAAAATTGTAGATCATAAAATTATCTATAAAAATGTATCAATACTTTTTTTCTTACGAGCCACCGTTTCTGAGATATAACGATTCAAAAAGTTATAAAATCGTCATAATATACATGAGTACGCCACGTATATACATCTAGAGTTGTTATATTTTATATTATATATATATATATATATATATATATATATATATATATATATATATATATATATATATTAAATGTTTAAATATTTTTCTATCGGTCATTGTAACTTATACTTACAATATAAAATATGCATAAGTTTTAACTATAAGAATATCAGGTAAAATGAAACCCAGTCCCTTAATCTTTATTTACTTTTGTAAAGTGTCAAGATCATGTACTATTTTTACACTCAATAACTGGCTGTGATACGACATCTGCATTTTACAGGAGGGGTAAAACAGCAGTTTTCAAAATGTTTGAAAAACAAGATTTAATTCAATGTGCTGAAGATTTTAAAAAGAGTAATTCAACTCAACAAGAAGTTATTAACAACGGCATCCGCTTTCTTCTTTCTATGTACGGAGCTCCTAAAAAAACTACCTGTTTAGATAAGCATCGATATGCATGTTTCGTTAAAAATACTAAAAATAAAAAACAAGTTCAATTAGCTTGTCTTCCTCCAACCTCAGTTGCTGCTCACCAACATCTTTTTCGAGTATATTACCAAGTTCAAGTGTGGCTTGGTTATCAGCTAGACCCTACAGACTGGGGTTGGAAGTTGGTCAACAATATATTAGAGCCAGTTCAAACTTTACTTCCACCTGCGCCGGAAAAACTGCTGAACACTATTTTTTGCAACTGCAAAAAGGGATGCAGTGCTAAATGTGGTTGCAAAAAAGTCGGACTGTCTTGTTCTTTGGCATGCACAAATTGTCAAGGCTGGTCGTGCTCTAATATTGAATCACAAACAATGTAGGATTCGTTTGACTCCGACGAAGTATCATGCGATACATCGCTATTGACGCAATTTACTTGCATCCAAAATGAAGATGAAGAAGAAGCAGAAGAAGAACAAGAAGAAGATCAAGAAGAACAACAAGAATTTGAAACTTACGAATAAAACGAATAAACTTCAACACTTTTTTTTTTAATTTACATCGCTTTTATCTTTCCCAATCTTTGAAAATTTCCGTTATTATGCAATAGTTTTACATTAAACAGGATCACAACTGACCCGTGGAGTAGGCCTACTGGGGAAACCACGTTAAAAAAACGCGCTAAGTAGGTACACTACCTCATAGGTGGCGTGGAAACGTGTGCATATTATGACGATAACAACTTTTATAACTTTTTGAATCGTTATATCTGAGAAACGGTGGCTCGTAAGAAAAAAAGTATTAATACATTTTTTGTAAATAATTTTATGATCTACAATTTTTGTCTGAGTTATTTTTATGATAAAACTTACCATTTTGCTGAAAATCGCGAACTCATTTTTTGAACTTTTGACCTTGAATAAAATTTTTTCCTTACAGGGGAATGATGGGGAACTTCTAGACATTGTTTATAATTATGTTTTGAACAATTTCACAGAAATTCAGCTTGTTGGGACTTTATGTAACTTCGAATATCTAAATTGACCGGACTATTAGAAGCAGATCGTTTGTTGCGACATTTTTTATGATTTTCGTCTTTCAGTAATAGCTCTGTAGAATTAGCTTTGGGTTGTTCAATCGAGATAGCACACTAGGAGAATTCTGAGTTGTCCTTTGGTTTAAGGGACTGCACGGACTTACTCCATAATCACCATATGTCGGCAAATCAAGGATAACAGGAGAAATATCTAAACAATTATCAGTCTGAGGTATTACCATTCCGCTACAAGGAAAAACAGGGCCTTCAGGGAGTGAACGGTTGAAACTGATAAACTTATCCTGTAGGTTGACTGCTGATTTGTTAGACGGTGAAGGTGTCCCAAGAACATAAAAGTTTTTTTATAACATTCTGGATATGGAGAAGCTTTTGTCAAAATACCTTCAGTTAGATGACGTGGAGTTAGCTTTCAAAAGAGATGGCTGCAGCTTACCTATTTTGGGTCAAACCCGTTTATCAGAACTGTCGTTGGAATCAGTATTGCAAATATATGATTCAGATGAATCATCATCCAATTCTTTAAAAGGATATGGTAGAAAAAGATTCTAATTTATTTACTCAACTCATATTTAGGAATTATTTTCAGAAAATCATTATAGGTAAAATTATTGTCGGTATATTTTCATAAAGTTAGCACCCAATGATTTTAGGGCTGGCCTTCTTTCATCATCACGTCCTACAAAATGTACAGAACTGTAGAAGTAGGTATTGAACGAGATTACTTAAATGAGCCAAAAATCGAGAGAGTAATACTTACTTATTATTTTATAGAGGAGTATAATGCCCATCTGCCAGCCCGTTCATCAAGACAGTTCGATGGTACTTTTAGCTACGGCACCTACCTATTGAACCCAACGCGCAGCTCTAAGCTCAGACCGAGCCACATCCACGTGCATCTAGATTCTAGATAATAATATACGCTTTGTTTTTGTGCATGCATCGTTTAATCTACTAAGTTACACACATACGTATCGTCAGATTGGGTTCGGTTTTTTTTTCTGTTTTACGCATATTACAAGGAACATACAGACGTATCTTCGGATAAGTTTCTGTGTTGGTACGTCGACCATTTTAATATTTACGTGTTATTGAGATACGTATCTTTGTGACTAAATATAACTTTTAATTTTGAGATAAGTTGCATATTTAACTCAAAACTCATAAAAATCGAAATACGTTTTTGTTACTAAGGGGACGAATTATTATTTTTACGTTTTTCATCAAAATTCGCCCAAGCCTTTACGACACAACTTGGTAGTTTCATTAAGAGATTTAAATAAATTCGATGTAAAGCTCATTTTAGGACCACAGTGGCGCAATTTTTTTTTCGATTCGCACAGTCCTCACGTGATGCAGTAATGTATAGAGTATACGTCAAAGCCTCAGAGTAAAAACAAGATTTTCTGGAATTTTCCAGTCATTTAAACGTAGTAGAGCCATGCTACAGTTATATTAGTAGCATAGTTGTAGCACGAATAGGTCGGCCCGACTGGAAAAGGACCACGCTCTCACGGAATACCAGCGTAAAATAATAGGTTAATGCTGCTGGGTTTTGCATGGTGAGTGTAGAGAACAAGAAACCTTTTTTACTGGAAACGAGGCATACCATCTTAGTCCTCACGTGTGGTAATCAAGGATAAATGTAGATGTCTATGGGCCACAGCAACCTTTTACGATCAGGTGGACTGTGTGCTCATTTGTCACCCTAACCTATAAAAAAAAACTTCTTAGATGGAAACGAAACTACAAGTTTAAGTTACAATGCAATTCCTCCAGATGACAACAATCGCTATATCGTATAAAGACTATTTTATTATTATAATACATTGTTTCAATATCTGACAGAAAAACTTAAAGTACATGACAGTGTTAATAATACAAAAAAAAACCAATTCAAATTCTCCGTCAGTCCTCTGTTATACACCCGCACATACTCTACTCTAATGGATGTTGAAAATAAATAATACGCCTTATTGGTTTTTATATTATTTATTGCATAAACCTAAACACTTCACTTAACTTCTTTCACCTGCAGACCTGCAACAAAAATATAATATTATTTCACAAATACTGATAATGCAGGCATACAAGACAACCATGTCAAAGCACAAACCATTATTAGATGGAACACCTAAAATTATGTTTCAAAGTGAGAAATAATAAAAATATGAAAAAATAAATGAATGTTGAAAAAGCACAGGTATCTAAAACAAAATAAATAGACATATTAATATAAATAAATCTTAACTATCGAGAATGTAGGAATGTAATTGTTTTTTTTTTTTTAATTTGATGTTATTCAATTTTTAGCATTAGACAAGATCTATACCTCATTAGTCACTTTTAAATCAATTGTACGTTTTGTTTTAGATATTATCAGTATATTTAAATTATGTCTTAAAAAGGTTTTATTTATAATAATGATAGAAAAATTCATTATTTTTCTTGATAATAGGAATCCGTTTTTACCTGTAAATTAATTGATCACATTCATTTTATTATATATACTCATACATATTCATTATAATAAATTATACCATACATACATAATATACAAAGAAAACAGTGGAATCAACTAGACTGTTCTCTTCTCCATTTAAAATCACATTGATACATACATACATAAACACTCACGCCTGTCACCCAGAGGGGTAGGCAGAAACTACAGACTTCCATTTGGCACGATCCTGACACACCTCTTTCGCCTCCTTCACATCCATATACCTATACATGCTCGTCGGTTAAGGGTACTCCTAATTTGGCCCGTTTTCAATAAATCGCCAATTTGGTCGATGAATTTTCGCCTAGGACATCCCTTTCCAACTCTGCCATTCACTTCTGCAACATAAATTTTCCTAGTCACTCTTTCCTCATTCATTCTTTCCACATGACCAAACCACCGAAGCATTCCTTTCTTAATCCTGGTCACAACATCATCTTGCAAACCACACTCTTCTGTTCAATGTGAAACACATTGATCTTCATGTTTTAACATTGTAAATTTTATACATTTAGGTTTGTTAATGCAAGGGTCACCTCTATACTAAAAGAAAATAGTAAAGGCATATGTCATTTTTTGTTTGATTAAGGTAAGGACAAAAATTAGAGATGGCCCGAATATTCGTTTCATATTCGGTATTCGGCAGCTTTACCAAATATTCGTATTCTAAATCACCAAACATTAGCTAAAGTGGTACTCAGTGTCCACTGTATTAAAATGTACGAATTGAGTAATGCCATGTCTTTCATAATTTTACTGATGAAAGTATATTTTATTTTTGGGTAAAATGTACTTGTATGTTTTAGAGGCACTTTAGTGTTTTTTCCAATTATAGCAAATAGAAAGCTTGATGAAATGTTTTTGGAATCAAACTAAGAAACATTACATTACATTAGTACAATTCACTATATTTTGGTCGTCAGTTTCTCTAAAATTAGTCCAAGTAGGTGATCTCCTGCCACTCATTTTTACCATATAATTATCAATTTTCACTAAGAATAACACAACTAAATACTTTTTTTCTAACAAAAATAGTCAAAACATAAGAATGTGGCGGCTATTTGCTCAGTATCAAATGATGCAATAACATGCCAGGTGCCATGCGGGGCAACGAGAGGCAGTTTCCGGCGCTAATCCCGCTCGCTTAATGGTAACAAGTTTTGACATAAATTGGTTAGATACCGAGGTGATCCTGCTGAATATTGTTCGGAGGAATATTCAGTTCGGTAAAAGTTTTACTGAACTTTCGGCCGAATATACGTGTTCGGTGAAATTCATATTCGGCCCATCTCTAATAAAAATGCATCAATATTCAGTGTTCATATTGGTGTATTTTTATCCGTTTTAAATTTTCCAAGAAAAGTTTTTATTATTTTAAGAAGACAATCCAAATGCACCTGAAGACGATCCAAATGCACCTGAAGACATGTATAGTTCATAAAAAAGCACAACCATGGTCTTAGTAAATAACATCAGAAAATAATAAACTACACAAAATATACTATATATACTTAAGAAATTGACTACACATCTGTTGTTTATTTTAAAACTCCATATAACAAACTCTTGCAAAAAAAATACAATCCCTTGAATTATGTTGTCACTACATGGCAGTGTAAATTTCCATGTCACCCAATACAATGTTAGGCAGACAATTGTCACCATTGCTTCATCTGACCTTAATTTATCTTTCTATCATAATTTCTGTTGATTTTAGTAAGTATTTAAATTTTTATCATTTAGAACCCTAATTAAACCTTAAACTAAAAAAGAATTTCTTGAAACTACTAATTTTTGCATGTAAAGCCACTAAAGTGTGCATTTAGCATTATTGTACATCACTATAGTCAACCAAATCTAAGAAATACCTTTCGATGTTTCACATTAATCATACCAATGCGTTATTTTGTAATTTTGTGTTTGTATTCTTATTTTGTGACTCGACTTTAACTTTTTGGACTGTTTTTCTATATTCGTTGAAGCATGTACCCATGTCACAAAGGATGATTGGGCAAGTGGTAAAAAAAACAAAAAATTGATTATGACTATGGATGACTTTGAAAGAGACATTAATCTTGACTGCATTATTGAAAATTAAATAATAATTTATTTAAACGACATCTCAACTAGTTGTACTGAAAGTGATTGAATAAATTTATTTTTAATCTAGTTTCAATCTTAAATTTTTATAACTTTCATCTAGAAATAAGCAGTAACAACAAATACGAAGAAACTGATAAATCTAGTGTTTTAAATTATCTGTTTCTAATTAATTCTGCTATTATTCAAATCAAACTGTAAATGATTACCAACTCTAAATAATAGATACCGATTTTCTTAAGAATCAAATATTGTATGTTCCCATTTTTTGGTTGGCATGCTTGGTGCAATAAGTCTGACAGCTGTCAAAATGTATTTCTTAGATTTGGTTAACTATACAACCTCTGCAATCACCAACAACATCAATCATGATTGACATTTAACCTGGATCAACTACCTCATATTCATCCCGTAGGTTTCATAATAACAGAGGGCGATAAAACTGATAGGCAGCAACATCTTCATGATAACACCTCAAAATAACAAAACTGTGGTTAACAACCCACCCCCGTCAAATGCACCAATTATGGCAAATCGCCCCACTGTGGTACAACTTATGGGGGATACTACGTTCAACAGGAGACTATAAATAGACTAATTAATTAATTACATTATTACTTTATACTGAATATAACAAAACAAAAAGGTAAAGAGCTAAACCTCTCTACCTTTTATTCATAGGCTTTCTAAGTAGTTTTGACTGAATTTAATGGAGTACTTTTAATGCAGTATAGCCATGCTGAAGCTTATTTTGGTTACCATCAGGTACATGTGCCCATTAATAACCCCTATTCTATAAAAAAGGAACAATAACAATACCTGGCGGTAAACTCTGTTTAAGTTTCTCTGCCTTCTCCTTGTCAGTGATCACAAGGGTATAAAGGAAGCGTGAGCAGCGCACTTTGAACTTAACATTTTCTGTGTTTTTCTTTATCTTGACAGCTGAAATAGTGCAAATTCAGGATATTCAATAATTTAATCTTCATGCCTATTGGTGTCTTGGAGGATTTTTTTAATAGTATACTTACATTTTGCATCTTTCCTGCGGGCCTTCAACAAGAAATCTTTGATGTCTTTGATTTCACGTGGCTGGAATAAACGCCACAAATTTATTTATCTATGTAAAATTAAGCATACAATAAAAATAAAACTATTCATTAAAATCTTATCCTAAATGAAATGATTCATACCATCTTCAATGTTTTGTTGGACAACGCTGAAAATAAAAGAAAGGCTATTAAAATATAATACGCATCAAATATTAATACACATTAACATATGAAAAATGTCACAAGTACGAGAAAAACACTTATTTATTCAAAGATTTTTACAGATTTCTATAAGAAAAACATGGAATCGAACTTATCCCACCTGTCAAACTTGGTAAAAGAATTTGACAACTGACAAGTTGTCAACACAACACAACACGTCAAGTGTCAATGTGATTAATATTGTCAGATGCCAGACCATAAAGTTAGTTGTCTATTTTAGACCTAGATACTACGTCCATAATACACGGTGGTTTGGGCCGTTTATTCTTGAGTATTCAACCAACTGGAGAGAACTTAATTCCTAAACAAAAATTCAATGTCTTTGGTTCTATAATTAGTTAGATATGTGGTACATCAACTAGTTAAACTGTTTTTACTGTAAATGATTTCAAATAATGTTAAAATTGCGAAAATATCCAAAAAGTGTCTTTGGCCCCAATTGTGAACGGTTTGGAACTAATTCTGAACAAAATCAGCCTTATTTATGAACTAAAAAATGAAAGGCAAAATTCTATATAAAAAAACATTATTGTAATTAAACATGATTTCGCTTACTTACCCATATAAATAAGTATCCTGGGGTATAATCCTCAGACATTATTATGACAGTTATGAAATCAAGTGAAGTTCCGTACGAAAATACATCTATGGGTTATTGTGATACAGGAGTTTGAGACTATTAAAAGTATTTTTCCTGAAAAAACTGTGAAACGTGTAGTAGTAGTTCCGTCTGCTGAGAAGTTGCACAGTACAGTGACAGACTCTTTTTCTTTTCCAGACGCAACATCATGCGTTACGATAATTTTTAAGAGTTATAATGTTTCCAGGTTTTGGGCAAAGTTGCACACAAATTTCATTAAGATTGACCACTATTGTAGGATCATTTAAGATTTCTAGTTGATTTTCGGACTCAAGATGCTCATGGACTTCATCAAACCAATTTTCGAGAGACTCTTCAGGTCTTCAATCACTCCAACTCGTGCTCTTGAAATTACTTCTGCTGTCCGTTTAGTAATTTGCGGGATGTCTTTTAAGGAACAATTTCACGCATTGTTCTCCAGGAAAATCCCTTTGACCTGTTTTTTCACGTGTAGTAGTGGTCTAAAATGACTGTACCATACATTTGACATCATTTGAGTGCAATGGATACCCCAAACTAAGTTCATCTAAGATCCATTGTTTTAATTTTAGTTCCTCGTCATCCGTTAAAAAAGTTTTTGGGCCGTTTTTGCAAATACTGCCACTTTTTACTTTATTGTGTAATGTTCCTTTGGGTATGTTATATATTTCACTAGCCTTGTGGTGATAAGATTGATAGGTGTGTGCATTCCACTTAAATCTATGTTGTTATCTTTAGACGTTGATAGTCTTTTCACAAATGTCCCATCCCCTGACTGTTTGCATAATATACTCTCAGATCTCTTTAAAAAAACGTCGTCTACATCCCGGAGAAACAAATGATCTTCTTAACTTAACCTCTCTCTGTATGAAACATGCTTCCTAGCAATCCTCCTCAGGACTGAGCAGCGGCGATCGTTGGCCGTGTGGTTTTTTGCACAATTTGCGCACTTTGGCTCTTCCTCTCTACCCCTTGGGCAAAGGCTAGCAATAAATAAATAAATAAATATGCTCCCCGGCACAGCGAACGCATTTCACTGGCCTGAAGCAGTTTGCGGAGGCGTGGCCGAAAGCCTGGCAACGGTGGCATTGTGCCGATCCCGTCTTCCTCTGCCAGGCTTCGATGACTACTCCTCTCATATAGAGGAGCTCGTCAATCCGGTACAGGTCTTGTAGCCACTCCAGGCTCAGATGTTCAAGCTATGCATAGTAGAGGCAGCCCGGTCTGCCTCTACGTGGTGGTATGGCCTTCACATAGGTGATGGGGAAGCCTTTTGCCCGGATAGCCTCCTCAATCATTTTAGGATCCATGCCCACTGGCAGGCCCCGGATGCCCACTTTAGTGGGCTTCTCTTCTGCCGGGGTATAGCAATACTACGACATGGTTGGTAGTTTCTCGGAGAGTTCGACCAAGTATCTTTGTATAGTTCGGAACTCCTCCGGACTCTGGGGTGCGAATCTTACACCCTTCCCGAACGGACGGGCTTTATGAGGGTGGCCCAACTTTCTGTTGAGCTCCTTGAAATGCCTGGTCCAGTCCGGGAGGCATTCAGCAACAATCGGCGGATATCTCGTTTTTCCTTTTCTTTCTCAGTTTTTTGTGGCTCTTCCGCCAATTGTGGTCGTGGTATTGCGGGGGCCACAGCCATGTGGGCATAGCTCGTTGACGGCCGCTGTCCGTCATCTTGTGATAACCCGGACGGGTTGGTAATCTGCACCGGAAATGATCTTCCGGCGGATGCAGCTAGGGTCGCATAGGTTGTAGAGCCCTAGCTGTAGGACTCCTCACCTCCTTGCTCGTATTGGGCCGAGTCGTGACTACGCCGGTCCGGTGAGATGGATGTTGGTCGTTGCAGTGGTAATGGCGATTTAGGAGGTGAGGTATGGACCTTCTTCCTAGTCGCCGGTTGGGGCTCCTCATCATCCGATGATGGTGATGATGATGATTCCGATAGCGTTGGATCGTGAGAACCGATGTGCTGCCTTTTCTCGTGGAGGGAGGCATCGGTTTCGGGTGGTGTGTGCCTTCATGGCGTCTTCTTTGCTCGCTGAGGGGGCAACGGTTCACGCCCAGTCGTATACTCGGGTACGATGGGCGAGAGCGCGGCCCTTGGTGCGGGTTCTTTACCCGGCGACGAAGACTTTCGGGTCGGAATTTGAGAGTAGGAGGACACTACTCTTGTCCTTTCGGGATTGAAGATGTCCCTATAGGCGATAGGCCTCTCCAATACGCCGGGACGGTCCGGTGGTTTTCTTGACTTAGGGGGGCTCCCCCTTATCCTTAACTGATATGTTGGTTCCCTGCCTAACTGAGTCAGTGGTAATCAGACTAAGGCCCTATCTAAATAACCAGCCGATCGGCAGCGGATGATGATGGTGATGATGACTTAAGAGCTTCGACACTATGGGCACTGCCTACCCCTTTTATATCAAAAGGGTTGGGGGAAGTGCGGTGGTGGCACTTTAAGGATGTGACTAGGCACAATAGACACGAGCGTCTTAAAGCGCCAAGAATCTGCCTAGGGGCCGGTGACCTCGACGCTTCACGGAATCAGCGGACTCAACGATCGGCGGAGTATGTCGTACCGGCGGTTGTATGTGCTCACTGCTAAACACAAACCTAGGAGATCCTTTTAATATGGCGCTGCGAATATATGTTACATGCCTATGCATAGACTATCGCATTTACCATGGGGAGAGCTCAGAGGAATTGTTCGGTCTAATTTCAGCCGCTGTATTTCACCATCTTACTTCTTTACAGGGGACTATTTTCGATCTAATCCTATTTCTGTTACACATAAATGACATTTTTATTACGACGAAGCATAAAGTGTATACTATTATTGCTTAAAATAATGTAATATGTAATATACACAAGCCCAAAACGTTAACAACGATAGATGACACAAATTCCCTTAGTTCCCGAGATCCATATAGGCTCATAATAGTGTAGTAGTTTATCCATAAGTGTACGATTATACATATAATAACATACCCAGTAACATAAAAATATTGAATACCAGATTATTTAAATTAATATTGTATGATTGTTTAAATGATAAGAACATAGCATTATAGGTTTTGATAACCATAAATGTTAATGTTAAAATATTTACACGCTATGTGTATATGTATGTATACGGTTGTAATAAAACAAGCTGATCTGTAATGATAAGTGGAATCTGTTTTACATCATGTTTTGTGCAAATAAAATATTATTATTACTATTGACAAGACTCGCGATACCATCCATACCATCTGGATGGTTGGAAAATCACTACTTCGTGATTTACGAAAAATTCTCTTCCTCACCTAATTTCTTTGTGGAACTGAATACCATCAGCGATTTTCCGGACTGAAACGACTTAGAGACCTTCAAGAAAAGAGCCTACTATTTTTAAAAGATCGGCAACATACCTGCAATTTTCCTGGTGTTGTAGTTATTCATGGGTGGCACTAGGCACTTAACAACAGGTGAGCCGCCCGCCCGTTTGTCTCTCTTGTATAAAATAAACATAATGTTGGTAATTATTATCCTATGAAACAATTTGCTTAAAAATGTCTTCACATGCTTCAAATTACGGAGTTTTTGGAAGATTGACGACCCAGCCACCATCAAGCCAAATCTCAAACCTCAAGACGTCTGATCAGCAAAATACCTAGAATTTTAAATCATCAGAGAACTTTTTTCGTCGTATTGCCTAATAGTTCAAATATGTAGCCATATACACATAATGTTTTCCGTTCTTACTTTTACGTATCAAAATCTACTTCAAATTATTATTTAAACGATAAAACTGAGTAAAAACCGCCGGCGGCCCCTAGTTCTAGTGAAAGGTCAAAGTCAAAGTCAAAGTCAAAATCTTTATTTGCAGAATAAAATGTTTAGGTAATACAGGTATTTAGTATAAGAGTAAGTCTCAATAATATTCTACCGGGAGTTGTACCGGTGTGCAAATATATCTTAAAATAATCAAATTTAATTGTCATAAGGTGTCATTTTTTATATAGGATAGGGTGACAAGCGAGTACACAGTCCACCTGCAGTGTGTTATTTTGCCTTAGTTGCGGACATACTCGTTTTATCTTTGGAAAACTAATAATCAAACAAAACTCTTATTAAAACTCCCCCGGCTCTAACTACTATAGTGTAAGAGAAATTCATAAAATCGAGAAAAATCTTTAAAAACCATAGAAACATAATATCTCGTTTTTGGATTTGATTTTTACACTAAATGTTTAAGTTGTTGTAGGAATTCACTATAGGACATTGCGCTAGTAATGTATAACATTACGAGCGCATAGACCGGGCTAACTGAATAACTAAATCGGATCAGTGCGCTGGCCCTAAAATTACAATTTAGGGCCAACGCGACTCGGTCGACAGTGGTGCACGTACAGGGCAGATTTGATAAATATGTCTAGTTGCGTGGTAAAATGATGCAAAAATTACGATACAAAGATTAAATAGGAACATGGGGTATCGTATCATCGGTAAATGACCTTATATTAATTTTGTTATAATTAAATTATTATAAAAAGCACTTTTAAAGTTTCATTTTACAGTTAGTCTAGTTATGTTATCAAGATTAGGCCAGGATTGGATTCAGATCCTCAAAAATACTGTACATGGAAAATAAAATTATACTGTTCTTCAAAAATTGTATCACGTTTGATGTTTCATGTATCTTTTTTCCCATGAGCCGGGATTTTGGCGTTACGTATCAGTTTATCTATACCTTTCGTTTTTGATGGTTTTATTTTTATTTCTGTTTATTTTTTGTCTAAAGAACTTAGTGTAAGTTAAATTTTGAATATTGATACCTAATATATTTTATATTCAATAAGGGTAAAATGAAAAGAGTACAAAAGAAACCGTATCTGCTTAATTGAATCTGAAAATCTGATCCATAAAATATTTTGAAATTCTGTTTTCAACCCATTGCTTCTGAAGCATAGAGTTTTTATGGTGGTAGCCCCTTGTTAAAGTTGTATCAAGGATGCAACATAACATAACACATATATCAACATAACACAAATAAAATGGGGATTGCAAATAGGATGCAACTCGCTCATATACCGTATGTCTGTCAAGACTTAGTATTGATACCTCCCTCATAATCAGTTTTTAAAGTTTGCAAAACGAATATTTGAATGTAATATTATAATCATCATGGCTTGATTTAGAAAGCAATTTATTTGATCGTTCGAATAATAATAAGTTTAGTCCTATTCTTAGGTACATAAAGTAATAAAAATAAACAACAAAACCAAAACTAGTATACCGATGTTGATTGTTGCTAACATTGCAAAAGAAATCACTAGAAATCAAAGACGTAATATATTGTAATGTTGTAAAGTAACGTCACACATAGAATACTATAATACATATATTTTTTTTTATAGGATAGGGTGACAAACGAGCACACAGTCCACCTGATGGTAAGTGGTTGCTGTGGCCCATAGACATCTACATTTATCTTCGATTACGAATCAAATGCAGATGCGTTGTCACCCGTGAGGACTAAGATGGAATGCCTCATTTCCAGTAAAAAGGGTCTCCGGTTCTCTACACTCACCATACGAAACACAGCAGCATCAAGCTACCATTTCACGCTGGTATTCTGTGAGAGCGTGGTCCTTCCCCGGTCGAGCCGACCCATTCGTGCTACAACTACTAATATAACTGCAGTATGGCTCTACCACGTAATAATAATATTACTACAATAGTAAATAGTAAATATAAATGTTATTTTTCTAGTAAAACTGAACATACGAATGTACTAACTCTAATTTTTTTATAGAATAGAATGAAAAACGAGCACACAGTCCAGCTGATGGTAAGTGGATGCTGTGGCCCATAGACATCTACATGTATCCTCTATTAAGAATCAAAATGCAAATGCTTGTCACTCCTGAGTACTAAGATGGAATGTCTTTTTTCTAGTAAAAAGGGTCTACGGTTCTCTACCCTAACCATAATAGTTTTCAGGAATAATTCAATCAGGAAAAATGATATATTATACTTTCCATCATCTATATTATGTATGACTATCAAACTTGATTGAAAATATAACAAATTGTCTTGAGAGTACTACCTATTTGTATTATATTTTATCCACCTTCATCTATACATCAATGTTAACCACAAATAATATCGATATTTTTTTCATTTTTCGTTGCTAGTCTTTATGTTTATATTATGTTATTTCACTTATTTTATTAAAACCTTTTTCACGGTATTTTATTGATTTAAACCAATTGGTAAGTGTTAATTATTTATTTTGTTTAACGTTTCAAATACTTATCGTATCGATTAGGAATTTTTCCGATGTGTCTTATGGTACATCCCTATTGCGCGTCGAGTGGAGAATTGACACTTTGACACAATAAAATACAATAATACACGGGCATCGTGATGACATAGAGTTGTGATTGTGAAACAAAAATTGCTCCTTTAAGTCGCGTAAGGCTAAAAGTGAACGATTAGCGTGATGTGGGTACGAGGATCGTGGTCGTGGACAGCGGACAATCAGTGGGGAGACGGGTAGTTGCGGGATGGGCAGAGGTGTGCGAAGCAGTGCGCGGCTGAGTGGCGGTGGGTCTGGTGGGTCCGGCTCCAGCGGGTGTGGTGGGGCGCGCGCGCGGCGCAGGGGCGCGCGGCCGCGGCCCGCAGCTCGGCCGCCGCCGCCGCCGCGCGTGCCGCCGCTGCCGAGCGCCGAGCGCGCGCCGCCGAGCGGGCCCGCGAGGTCGAGGACAGCCCGCAGGTGCTGCGCGAGAAGTGCCGTCAGCTTGCGCGCGCCGTGCGCGATGCCAAGCACTTAGTGGTGAGTGCCCATATCAACTAATTTAACTAATATGTACTACATACTAGAACAGACGCTGAGACATGGTTTATTGCTAGGTACATGCGTTATAGCCCACAGACTCAAACTTAGTGTGTGCTATAAAAAGGTACTCTGTGCCTCCGACCACATATTCTTCACTGCTGCACAAGTTTTGTTCATGATTTCTCTTTAGGTATGTGTATATTCAATGTATTAGGTCACTTTTTTCAACATTTAATGCTTTATGGCAATGCTTTTGATTTTTATTCAATGAATTGTTCTATGAGTTATGAAATCACAACTGACTCCAACACATTCATAATAATTTCCTTCAGACCAAACTTTCGTCATGCCATCCAATGTAAACAAAGACTAGCTATCTGAGCCGGACAGGATTATAGTGATCAAGTGTATGGGTAAGCACAGGTGCGATTTACTTTTATTTTGCTATAAATATAAATCCCACTGGAGCAATGCATGCAAGAGCTTTACATACTTTCTGAGGCATGTGCATGAAACACCACCAAGTGCTTGGGTGTGAATTTTCTGACAAAAAAATTACTGAATTTTTTTAGCTCTGACCCAGGATTCTAACCTAGGGTTTAGAATTCTTGGTTAATTAGAGTTTAGTTTCTTCTATAGGAGAGGAAGCATATGAGCATATGGCTCACCTGATGTAATGTGACGAATGGTAAGTGATTACTGCCGCCCATGAACAACTGCAACACCAGTGGAATTGCAGATGCGTTTCTGGAATTTTAAAAAGGAGTAGGCTATTTTCTTGAAGGTCCCTAAGTCGCATCAGTCCGGAAAAATCTCTGGTGGTAATCAATTCCACAAGGAAGTTGTGAGAGAAAGAAAACTTCTTTTAAATTGCCCAGTGGTAGATGGTATTGCGAGTTTTATCGCGATGTGCAATGGTGACATCGTGCAACTGGAATGAGTCCGAACAATTCCTCAGAGCACTCCCCGTGGTAAATGCGATAAAATAGGCAAAGAGATGCCACATTCGCAGCTCCAGTGAGTCAAGCCGATTGGAAGAAACTTAGACGCCGATGATTTGGAAGGAGCTGGTAATTGGGAGCCCCTGAAATAGGAACAGTAATCCATGTGACAACTTTCGCCTTCCAAAGTTGCAAGCGGTGTGCCGGCATGAAATACTGCCCCATTTTGCTGAGCACGCCAAGCTTTTTAGAAGCCAATTTGGCCTTCGCCTCCAAGTGACCATGAAACTGCACATAACTCGATATGCAGATATGATATGTCATTGATATGCAGAAGAAACAGTGTTGGTGATAGCACACAGCCTTGTGGAACACCAAGGCTAATGAGCTTGTAATCGGAGCACGCACCATCTACTACGATCTTGATGCTCCGTATGTAAGAAAACTGGTGATCCAATCGCACAATTTCTTGGGAAGCCCATAGGAAGGAAGCTTTGTAAGAAGCGCTTTGTGCCAAACACGATTGAAGGCCTTCGCTATATCCATACTAACAGCCAACGCCCCCCCTTTGAACTCTTCTGCCTCCACCCATTTATGAGTTAGGTAACCCAGAAGCCAGCCGAGTGTACATGACGATTACCGCAGCACCGCATGAGCTGGCTGTTAATAACAGACTCCATTATTTTAGAGAACAAGTAGGTGATGGCGATAGCCCTAAAGTTGGACGGATCAGCGGGGTTACCTTTGTTAGGGATTAGGTGCATGAAAGCTGTCTTCCATGATTTTGGGACCATGCCTAGGGACTAGGAGTACCGGAAAAGATGCGTTAAAACCTGTGCCAACTCCTGAGCCCACACCTTCAGCACAATAGGATGGATGCCATCAGGCCCACTCGAGTTGTTGACATTCAGAGAAAGGAGTGCTCTGCGCACTGAGCGTTGGGTAAACAGCACATCGTGCATGGACCACTCTCACCACGGGATGGTCGCTAGTATGTTCCCCCCGTCATCAAGACTTGAGTTGGACCAAAGAGAAAACTCAGCAGATCGGCTTTGTCTTGCGGACTGGACTAGTGAGTTGTCCTCCATGTGCAGAGATGGGATAGATGGCTGACAGAAGTTCCTTTGGTGAAAGACCAGAATGCACGTGTCCTGAAGGAAGATGAACTAGTTTCTCGCCAATTCTTTCGATGTGCTCTGACTTTGCCTTGACAATGACACTTTTAAAGGACCTGGAAGCGGAATTATACTTCTTTTTAAGAGCGCTGGTATTTGCATCCCGAGATGTTGATGTGTGAGCACAGGTTTGGTTATAATTAGTATGCAAATTTAAGTTTATGTTAGGTAACATTTATTTCAAAAGGGTCAAATGTATTCATTAAAATCAGTGTCAACAAATCAATAACCATTAAAGCCTAATGTCAATAAATACTTCAATGTCATACACTTTAAGTTCAATAAGCCACTTATAGTCTCGATTTGAATAAATTCATTTTGAGGTTTTTGATGACATTGGGAATCTTATTATACACCTTAAGGTGGCTCAAGTCGCGGGCTCGAACTCATTGGTGGGCGCGGCCAAAAAGCACGTTGTCTCACCTGGCATCGTGCCCGACAGAGATAGTACCAGTGAAGAGCAGTTAGAACGCACGTCTTGTTCGTACGGCGTTCCGAACCGTTAGAACAAAAACGAAGTTACACGAACACGATGCACACATACATACCACCCTATTCTGTGCCGCTCGACGCTAAGAAATCAGCAGTACCTACCTACAAACTCGTACTAAAAATGATTTAAATTTAAAATTATTAGGCACTGCGCTACGTTATCGCTTTATACCATACCTCTATGGCTCTATAGATACCTAATATAGATGGCTTATTTTATTATGTTTTGTTTTCCCCGGGTGGTCATGCAGCGATCACTCAAGAGTTCACGACGCCGAAGCATGAACTGGAACAGTCATCACAATTTATATCCGTACTAGCTGTTGCCAGCGGCTTCAAACGCGTGAACTCGAAAATTATCCCACAGGAACGAAATACCTGAATAAACGGTATCAAAAAATGTGTTATTCCAGACCAGGTATAACCTATCTCTGAGCTAAATATCATCCAGATCCCTTCAGCTGTTCTGGCGTGATTGAGTAACATACATCTATCCATCCAAACTTTCGCATTTATAATATTTAGATAATAATTGTAATTAGTTCTGCCTACTTTTAAATTGTTTTCAAAAATACTTACCTGTCTTTTTACTTTTTTTATATACACACAATATCACTAGATGTAAACACATGTTTTTATCAAGACAAGTGACCCGTCAAGACTGTGTCCTTAGTACCGACGTACTTAGGCAGGTAGTAGTAGGTAGGCAAAAACGATTACTACTGAAAAACTAAATAGAAAAAATATTCGCAAAAAGCTCAACCAATTCAGAATTTAATTTTGTTAAAAGAAAATTGGTCAAATAAAAAATAAAGGATGAAAATAAAGCATATGGGAATATAAAAATAAATCGTATTTATTTGAATAAAACTATTATTTACGGATTTTATCGCGTTTAATTACTTTAATTTATTTTTATTATTATCCCGACGTTTCGGGTGCTTTACAGCGCCCATGGTCCCCCCCCGTGAATAATAGTTTTATTCAATGTGTAGTGTTCGCGTAAATTTAAGAAATCGTATTTATTTGTTATTTCGAGTTTTACAAGAAAAGCATAATATTTACTGGAGAGAATTATTTTATTATTATAATAGTACATGATATTCCCTTTAAAATGACACCAATATGAATAATATCTTATATCTATATCTACAAATAAATAAAATTTAAGTGTCTGTTTGTAATGTTAAAATAACAGCTTTTTATTAAATGCATATGAAAGTACTAGTAACAAAAACACATTTTTTAAAATTTCAAACACCACAATCTCTAATTTTTTACTCTGCTATCTTCAGTGCTGTACACGAACGGAACGATGTCGTTGAGAGCCGTGGTAGCTCACATGGTTAGCGCTCGTTATAGGTATCACAGTACGGGAGCAACCCGGGTTCGATCCCCACTGGCACCATTGAAATTGTTGTGTGCTGATTTAGCTATCAGTTGGAAAGTCTGTTTTTCTGGGCCGTTTTGTTTTGTTTCACTGACATCTCGCAAGTCGCAAGTGTGTATATGTGTATATATGTTTATATTTATTATCTTTATTGGTATATATGTATGTAAATTAATAGAAATAAGAATAAAAGGAATAAGAAAATAAATTATACTCACTTATATGTTAATTGTTAACTGTAACTTATAGCCAATTTCTATTAAGTAGCGTTATGTTAATTATTGAGTACGCACGCTGCTACCTACTTGCTTTATATATAAAACTATTTCTCTTTCCCAATAGGTTTGCTGGAAGAGAACTCTTATTAGGGTTAAGCTCGCCTTTGTACATTTATTTAAATATTTAATAATTGTTACCAACTTATTGTGTGTACGATAAAGAATAAAGAATAAAGTCACCTAGGGACCTAGGAGGTTGTCGGTTGCTTATTTTTTATTTTTCTTTAAAATTTTCGTCGGTAAAATAACATAATTATAAAAGTTAAAAAAAGTAAAGTTACAGCCTATATACGTCCCACTGCTGGGCACAGGCCTCCTCTAATTTCTGAGAGGGGCAAGGAAATGTCCGCCACGCTGCCTCAATGCGTGTTGACGAACTTCACATTTCTTCGAAATATATATTTTTTAATTTCTCAGACATGCAGACCCGAGTTCGATCCCCGCCGGTATCAATGAAATTGTTAATTGCAATTGTGCTGATTTACCACGTGCTCGGCGGTGAAGGAAAACATATTGAGGAAACCTGCACGTCTGAGAATATAATTATAATCGAATGTAAATCAAATTGACATAGGTAAGTACAGATAAAATTAGCGGAACATTAATAAAATTTTGAGATCGTTTTTTTTTTTTCAAAATTTTATTTATATATTCCTCTATTTTTGTCTGTGCTTATATCAATTTGATTTAATCCAAAGTTCAAGCAGGGGTCAATGTAGCG